GTCATTTGTTCACAGCGTCGCTTCCTTCCTTCGCTGGCCCTCTGGTCATGCGTGCGCTGCAGCGGCAGTGGCTCGGCCTCCAGGACAAACCCGTCACCAGTTAATTTTGACAGTTTCACGCTAAATGAGGCAGTTGTAAAGAAGGACATGGAGGCGCTCGAGCGCTGGAATGAACTCTCGCAGATGATATATAGCGCACGGGCGGAGAAAGCGAACGAAAAGGTGCTTTTGGCTGTGGAAAAGGGTTTGGGGATGCTCGCCGAAATGGGCGCGCTGAATGCGCCGATACAGTGCGAGACGCTCTTGTTGCTGGAGGCAACTCAGGCGCACTATAACCTGCATCAGTTTGAGGCCGCCTTAAAGAGTGCAGAAAAGGCAAAAAATGTACTTTTAGAAACTCCCGCGGCTCTGAGGGACGCTGCGCTGTTGGCGGAGGTGAATCAACTGGTGGCGTACGTCCTTCTTGAAAATGAAAACATCGATGAGGCCATGAATACCTTCACAGATATATTGCGGTGGATTGATGTGGATGCAAAGTCGGCGACGCCGATGCAAGCTGTGGCTGCCGTGAATATGCGTCGGTCAGTGGTCACAGGAATCGGCCTTTGTTATCAAAAACGGGCTGAAAAGGAAGTTGCCACAGGCGGGGATGGAAAAGAGTTGTACGGTAAAGCGCTTGATCTTCTTATTGAGGCACTCAATGTTCACATCGATGAGAACGACTACGACTCTGTGAAGAAAACTCTGTCTAGCGTGTTAAAGTGCTTTGAGGGCGTGAATGACATCTCCCAGGCGATATCGACAGGCGAGAAATATGTTAGTTGGTGCCGTCGGCACTCGGACGAGGCGGGGGCTGCTCAAGGCACCGTCTGGTTGGAGGAGCTGCAGAAGAAGTACACAAAAGAAGGCGACACAGCCCAGTGAGGGGAAAGGCGGGATTATTACACACGCATACGTAACGCCTTCTGATGTCTTTGGGTGGGCGGGCATCAGCTTGGTTGTGACGACGTGCACAATTTTCAAAGGCAAAACCATGGGAGAAGCGGTTTCGAGCAAATTGATGCAAAACAAGGAGGTGAAGCTGGCGTTTATCTACTGTACAGCAATCATCACACCTGCCCTTTGAGACAACGGAGTCACCGTTCAAAGTAGCGTGTATGCTCCCATCCCTTTGACTTGTTTTTTTTCTTTTTCTTTCGCGCTCACTATGTTGTGGGAATGTAGCAAGCAGATGTTTTCTGCGAAGTTTCACCCTTGTTTTTTTATCTTCCGCGCTGCTTCTGTGCCTCTTCTACTGCCGCAGTTGGCCACACAGGAGCTGGACCAAGGAACCTCAAAAAGAAAGAAAGAAAAAAGGCGAAAACAAACAAGTGTCCACACAACCCGAAGAAAAGAAGAGAAAGAAGCTTCGAGGAGGAGAAGCACTGAGTCGTGATAGTGGTACGAAGTCCAATGACGGACGAAGAGGAGACAAGATGTGTGGATCTTCGTCAGTCGTGGCGAACTTTCATGGTTCCCCGCAGCAGGACGAGGGCAGGGAGGGCAGGCGGTGGGGGTTGTGGCAATTACACGCTCCTTCGCCGTTTCCGCGTAGTTGGAACGGAGGCTGACGATCAGCCGCTCTTCTTTCTTTCCCTTATTAGCCCAAACCGAGAATTGCTCAGCGCGACGGCCCACCTGTTCGTTCAGTTTAACGCTCAGTTCCGCGACTGTGTGAAGGAGAGCGAAAACAAAATGACGACGTTGCGTGATCTCCATGAACAGCAGCTAACAGACCTTCTGGAGGCGGCAAACCGAGACACCAAAGACATGCTGGTGGGCTCAGAGCTGACGCAGAGGTTTGTCCTGAGGCATCAAGAGGAACTAGAGGAACTGCAGCAGGAATGCCGCGAAAGCGAAAGATCTCTCGAGCTGGAGCTGCGGCAGGGACTACTTGCCTTCTTGAAAACATCCGCACCCGATGCTCTGACTGCCCTTACAAGGGAAAAACTACGCGTAGGCGTTGATCAAGGCACTCGCATTACAAATATTTCGCACTTCGTCCCTTCACCAGTTCCTGTGCGCACGGTGGAGTTACCAAATCTTCTGCGCTACGAGAAGGTTGGAGTTCGCGCGAAGGACATTTCACTACGACCCGTGGTTGTAGACGTCTCACCGACATCATTTCTGCAAACCTGTCTCACTTCCCTTTGCTCAGAGGACGACGACACAGCACCTGCTGTGACGGAACATCTTCTTCGTTTGTCACAGCAGACTCACGCCGTGCTTTTGCTCATTGGTTCGCGGGCGGAGGCGGAAACACTCTTGTCAACGCAGTCTGCTGAGCTTTTGCTGGACAACTCTTTTTATTCTTGGGAATATCCACGGTTTGCTTCGTTAAGGCGACACCGTTATTTGAAATTGATGCTTTCCACACGGTTTTGGGGTGCCAATATTATTTTGCTTTGGACGCCGCCCAAAGAGGCAGGACCTCCGTCGGGGTGGCCCTTCGCCGTGGAGGATGCGCTTAACTTGGCCTTCTCTTGGAATGCGGACATGTTCTCAGTGGCCGTCATGACGTCGTCGAGTTATTGGCATGCTGCCTCTTTTCGGAGTTCCACTGAACAGGCGCAGGATGTGGCCATGGCGGTCCTGCGTCAGTTGCAGCGTGGTGTGGCTCGACTCGCGCACGAGGCTGCGGGGGTCAAACTCTCCACAACGTGGGGGATGCCAGAGGCGCCTGCGACACAAGCGGCACCGCAGCCGCAGCGATGGGACGACGGCTACGCTGCCAACTCTCCTGCTTCAGCAGGGATGCCGCAGCTGGCATTTAATACAAACATCGCCATTCGTGCCTTCTTTCCCTTTTCCGTTTCTCGGGCAGAAGGAGAGGGGCGACCTTCGTCGCACAGCGGCGCTCTGGCTGCCGCCGCTTCTTTTCCCTCCTTCCTTGCTGAAGCTGGTAGTCCTGATGGCGAGGCAAAGACGGAAGGAGGTCGGCAGAGGCGCAGCGTCCCTTTTGCGTCAGTTTCAAGTGGTGAAAGTTTTTCAAGTGACTTGGCGGCCTCACGTGAAGGTGATTGTCGCTCACAGCAGCCAATGTCGTTCAAGAAGTTGCTCGTGTACACTTTTGGCAAAACGGTTGTAGTTCATTGATTTTGTTTTTGTTTTTCCTCTCTGTATCTCTCTCCTTCTTCTGCCTCTTAGCCCTGTTTCTGGAAATGTGAGGTCAACTGCGCCCGGCATTGGTTTTTTTTTTTTATTGTTGCTGCTGCGCATGCTGCCGCCGAGGGGGACCGCGGTGACGGCAGACGTGGCGGTGGCACTGACGTTATGCCTTTGGGTTCCTTTTTTTTGTTTCTTTCGTCACTCTTTTCCCACAGGGCGCCGGTGAGGAGGAGTGTTTTTGCGAGGCTGCACACACACACACACACACACACTTACTCACTCACTCACTCACTGACTCAAATAATCGTTTGCTGTTGGCGCGTGAGGAAAACGCAAAGGGGAAGGGGGAGCGCAAAGGCAAGAAGAAAAAATAAAACAGAAAAGAAAATAAGTGAGAACACCCGACGGCCGAGCCGACACACGCACAGGCATTTTATACAAGGGTGCTATCGAATAACAAGAAGAAGAACAAGAACAAGGAAGAGGGGCGTGTACGAGGGTTCGCGCATGCCCTCAAAGGGAAGAGCGAGCTCGCCGGCTGGCTTGCCCCCGCGCTCAGCCGAGGAATCGTGGGACGAGCACATTGATGCTGTGCTTTCTGAGCTGCAACAGCTATACTTTGAGCGTATTCGCCCCGTCGAGAAGAAGTTTCAGTATGACGTCTTTCGACCCTCTTGGTTCTCCGAGGCAATTGTGCAAAAGAAACCATTTGTGACGTTTTTGGGTCCTTTTTCCGCAGGGAAGTCTACGTTTATTAACTACTTGCTGCAAAGCAACCACCTCCTAACGGGGCCGCAGCCAGTAACGGACAAGTTCACGGTGATTATGCACGGTGAGGAGATTCAGCAGGTCCCTGGACGTGTACTTATGGCGGATAGTTCACAGCCATTTCGCGGGCTCAGTCAGTTTGGTGACACCTTCGCGGAGGTATTTCAAGGCTTGCTTGTGCCGCACCCCCTTTTGCAGTCGGTGTCGCTGATCGACACCCCGGGTGTACTAGAGGCGGCGGGCGATATTCACTCGCGGCGGTACGACTACGTTAAGATTTGCCGGTGGTTTGTCGAAAAGAGCGACCTTGTGTTTCTTCTTTTTGACCCGACCAAGTTGGATGCAGGGATGGAGCTTCGGATGTTGTTTAAGCACGCCCTGTGTGGTCACGAAAGCAAAATACGCATTGTGTTAAACAAAGCAGACTCGGTGGGGCCACAGGAGCTGATGCGTGTCTACGGCGCTCTGTTTTGGAATCTCTCCAGCCTTATATGTTCGACGGAACCACCGCGTGTGTACGTTTCCAGTTTTTGGGACCAGCCATATAGAAAAGGCACCGACCATAATCTCTTTACAGACGAAAAGTCCGATCTACTCTACGATCTGACGGAAGTAGTGCCGCTGCAGTCCCTTGATCAGCGTGTCACCTCAGTGATGCAGCGGGCGAAGCTGGTTCTCATCTTTGCACTCTTGTGCGCCACCTACAAGTCCCGCTTGCCTTGGCTGATGGGAAAAGATAAGGCTCGTGCAGAGTTCCTTGCACAGCTGCCGCAGATTGCAGAGGACCTCGCAAGTACGTACCGTCTGGGCGTAACCGACTTTCCCACCCGTGAGGAGATGGTGGCGTTCTTGTCAAAGATCCGAGCGGAAGAATTTTACGATATGAATCGCCTGCGAAAGAAGGGGTGGCCAAACTTGCTAAAGCAGACGATTGAAGAGGATCTGCCTATGCTTCTTAAGCCGATCAAACAAAGCGCCGTGGTAGACCCACGCGACCGCAAACACGCCATTATGATGCAGCGTAATTACATCAAGCAAATGTCAGATCAATTGGCGGGTCAGCGTGGGAAACAAGGTGGACTGGGCCAGCAGCAGATTTCAGAACACCGTGCTCAAACCATGCCGAATGCTGCTTTTCTGACCGCCGCCCTTAGTTCCTCTATGCAAGTGCCACAACAAGCTTCATCCCCGCAATTGACGCCAGATCAAATGACAATGATGATGCAGATGATGCAGAACATGATGATGCAGTCACAGCCGCAGCCGCAGCCACAATTGCTGCAGATAGAGCAAGCTCCCACGCAGCAGTTGACGCCAGATCAAATGGCAATGATGATGCAATACATGTCCTCCCAGAATCAGCAGCGGTAACACTGTAGTAGTAGTAGACTTTTTTGGTTTGTTATATATTTATAATTCCTTCCCCCCCCTCCACACACACACACCGTCGCTTTTGTTTGCTTGTTTCTTGCCCTCTGCCCCTTTTATTTCATTCTGCAACACAACATCCGTTGGTTTGTGTTCCGTCCCATATTATTTTGTAGACGGGCGTGTGGTGCGGCTGATGATGGCGAGGGCGATGTCGCGCAAACAACGCCAACTGGAGGGAGAAAAAGAAGCACCATTACCAGTAAAATGAACAGTGCACTGATTATTTTTTTTTTACAGGCACTGTTTTTTTTTTTTTTTGTCTTGGTTTGCTCACAATGCGTTTTATCGTTTTTTTTTTTTTTGCTTGACCCTGTCTTCCTCTGAGCACGTGATTTTAGTTGACGCTCCCAATCCCATTTTATGTGGCCTTTTCTTCTTGTCTTGCTTTCAATCCTTTTTATGCACCATATTCTGCTCCCGTGCATCTCTACTTGCTCCTGTCTTGTGTTGAATTGAACGGAGCCCTGTTTTTTATTTTATTTATTTTATTTTTTCCATTGTGTCTGTGTCCCTCTTATTCCTGTTCTATTCTTCTTGCGTGTGTTGTTTTTCCCCCCTGTTTCTTGATGCATATGCATGCGACACGTGTGTTGCAATTAACACTTTCTTTACTGTAGCGGTCTCCTTCTCTCCCCCACTCCCCTGCGCCGCAACGGGCGGACGGAGACCTCTGGAGGCGTTTCGCGTGGCGATGCGGAGGCAGCGAGAGGATGACGGAGACGGCGGCGAGGAGCGGAGGTTACCTGCGGCGCGATTGGAGGGCCCAGGGTCTGCGAAGCTGCCCGTCGTTGGGGCCGCGGTCAATCCCTTCACAATGCGGCCGTTTTCAAGGCAGTATTACGAACTCCTTGCCGTGCGAGCCACACTCCCGGTATATGAAAAGGCGGAATTGCTCAAGCAATACGTGCGTGACCATCAAGTTGTGCTGCTTGTGGGAGAGACCGGGAGCGGAAAAACCACCCAGGTCCCACACTTCGTCGCTGAAATGGGTCGTTCAGGCCTCGTTGCTTGCACCCAACCTCGAAGAATCGCCGCCATTTCTGTGGCAACGCGTGTCGCCACGGAGATGGACGTCAAGCTTGGAGAAGAGGTTGGCTACCATGTTCGTTTTCAGTCCATGATGGGTGAAAAAACGCGGGTTCTTTACATGACAGATGGCATGCTGCTACGAGAGGCCTTCTCGGATCACGAGTTGTCACGCTTTGGTGTTATTATTGTGGATGAGGCACATGAACGCACAATAGACACAGACGTTCTGCTTGGTGTTTTGCGTCTTCTGATGGACCGCCGTCCTGAGTTTCGACTAATTGTCATGTCTGCGACACTTGACATGCAAAAGTTTCGGGCCTACTTCCCGCACGCACCACTATTGCAAGTAACAGGTCGTATGTATGATGTTCAAGTTAAATATACGCCATACGCGGTAAAAGATTACGTAGAGGCCTCTGTTCAGTGCGTGTGTGATATTCATATGAATGAGTCACCCGGAGATGTCTTGTGCTTTCTCACAGGTGAGGCGGAAATTGAGAAGGCCGTGACGATGACGAAAATGAAACTTGGTTCTTTGGTGGTGCGGGATTTGGAGACCACGCGTGACAGTCAAGAACCAATGTGGGTGCAGGTCCTGCCTCTGTACGGCTCACTGGGTGTGGAAGAGCAAAAGCGCGTATTTCCCCCTGCTGGCCCTCATACCAGGAAGGTGATCTTCGCCACGAACATTGCGGAGACCTCACTTACCATTGACGGGATTGTTTACGTGGTTGATTGTGGGTATCATAAGCAAAGTTTATATAACTCGGAAGTTCGTGTGGACTACCTACTCCCCGCAGTCATTAGCAAAGCCTCAGCTGAGCAGCGTAAAGGGCGTGCGGGGCGAACGCGCCCGGGGAAGTGCTTCCGCCTGTTTCGTATACAGGACTTTGCTACTTTTCCGGACCAGACTCATCCTGAGGTGCTGCGTTCAAGTTTGGTCAATACTGTGCTCTTGCTGCTTAAGCTTGAGGTGGAGAATCCCTACCAGTTTGCCTTCCTTGACCCACCCTCCCAGCAAAGCATCACAGATGCATATTACCAGCTGAGCTTCTTTGGGGCCGTCGACGACGACCTGCGACTGACGGACTTTGGCAAATTAATGGCAGAGTTTCCTGTCGATGCCTGTCTTGCCCGCATGCTAATACGCTCCGCAGAACACCGTTGTGGCGCCGACGCGGTGGTTATTGCTTCCATGTTAGAAGTTGGTAATGTCTACGTGCGTCCGGCAGGGCGTGGAAACGAGGCGGATCAACAGCACGCGACATTTCAGCACCCCGACGGCGATCACCTGACACTTTTTAACGTGTTTCATGCCTTTTGGCGCAACAATCAATCGCCGCAGTACTGTTTTGATCACTTTTTGCGCTATCAGGCTCTGGCGCAGGCCACTCGTGTATATCTGCAGCTGACGAAGCTAATGGGGAAAAAGCAAATTCCTATTGTCTCCACCTACGATAGTAAGACGCGGTCCGTAGACTCGGTGGCGCTGCGGAAGGCGGTGCTTGAGGGCTTCTTCACGCAGGTTGCCTACAAGTCGCCTAATGCAGAAAATTACAAGACCGTGAAGGATTCTCAGTGGGTTGTGTTGCACCGTCAGTCGGTGTTAGCTAAGAGAAAGCGTCCGGCGTGGATTGTCTACGACCGCCTTGAAGTGCAGGGCAACGAGGGGACCTTCATTCGTGTCTCGTCAAGGATTGAACCGGAGTGGCTGCTTGCGGTCAGTGACTTCTTCACAGATCCGGCGGAGTTGGCTGACGGGGAGATTTGTCACATATTAAAATGCCTAAGCAAAAACGATTCGGTAACTTCACCTTCCCCTCACGCATAGCGGTTGGTCTCTTGTGCTCATAAACCGAGGGAGGTGCATCAATGAGGACGGCTACGACGAGGAAAAAAATGTTGCACTGTCTTTTTTTTTGTCGGTGTTGTTCTTCTGTTTTCTCCACCGTTTAAGGCCCCCCGAAACCCTTGACTGTTCAACTACCTGCATCCATTAGGCACTCTCAGTATTGCCATTATTAATTTGCTTTTCACCGTCTCATTCGGCGCTTTGCTTTTCCCTTTTCTTTTGTATTGTGTGTGTGTGTGCCGGAATTATGAAGTCGGCGAGACACACACATGGAGCTGCAGCAGGGCGCTGATGGGAACATAGAGCTTGAGGTTGTCAGGACGGACGGACGCCCAATTGTTTGTCGCCCGATAGACGTGGGCGAGTTGCTCAACCAAAAAGGCCGCACCGTCGAGGTGGGCGACGGTGTTCACGTCCGGCTGGAGGAGTACAGTAGCGAGGAATTTGCCTCCACCTCTGATGAGGCGGCGGAGGGGACCGACAGCGATGGGAGCGCGAGTGAGTGCGTGAGCAGCGGCAGGATAGAAGCCCCGCCGGGGTACCGCAGGGTGGCCGGGCACGACGACGCCTTCAGCCTCCGCGGAGGCGGGGAGGTTCCCGACGCGAAGAGGCTGCGTCCCCAATCGCCGGGCCGAAGCATGGAGGTTGCAGTTACGCGCCCTAGCAGCAGCAGCAGCAACAACAACAACAAGCACGGCAAAGGGACACTTCCCTCCCGTCGTGACGTCTGGGCCGCCTTTGCGCCCCCAACAGACCCTGAGAGAAGTTATAAGTGGCTTCAGTCGACCTCGCTCATGCCAAGTGCAACGTCTAGGCGTTTTCGGCTGCCTCCGCTCATGTTACATGCCGCGGCGTCTTACCTAAGCCCTGTCGACCAAGGGCAGCGGATTCTCGTGCACGGGGGGACGACCAACGTTGGCAAAACGGTGGAGAGGGAGGTGTATGAATTTTCGCTTCTAACGGGCCATTGGCGACGACTGGAGGGCAAACATGTGCTTTTCCCCGGTAATTATGGCCATGCCGCGGTGGTGGTGGAACAGCCTCAACGTCTTGTGGTGATCGGGGGTGTGGGTCCTGGCGGCAATCCGGTCCAGACGGAAACGGCTTCTGATGACTTCTTCAAGCAACGGGGCCGTCTTCTGTTCCCATGCAAAGGCACGGGAAGGACAAGGCGACCACCATCGCTGCGGACAGAGATTGTTGACTCAGAGAAACCAACACTCTGGTCTCTTGCAATGCAAGTTGAACAAGAACCCTCGCTTGGTCTCTTGCCGATGTTATTTGAGATGGACCTGAAGACTCTCCGTTGGAGAGTCGTCCAGACAACTCCAGAGATTCCTGTGGCTTTTCACACATCTGTAGCAATTTCTCATACAATTTATGTGTTTGGAGGTCTGACAAATCGACTACTCGTTTCTACACAGCTTATAGCGATCGATGCTAAGACCTATACTGTTTCACTCGTTCACTCATCTACGGTTGCCCCAAAGGCACGCTATCTGCACACTGCCATCATGTATGGGAATTGGATGATCATCTATGGAGGCTTTGATGCGCACAACAACCCACTAGATGACGTGTGGGCTTTCGATGTGGTAAATAGACGTTGGGAGCAGTTGGAGTGTCACGGAGCGCCTGCTCGTGGTGCGCATGCGTCTTGTCTTGTGGGCTCGCGTTTATTTGTCGTTGGGGGTTTTGGAAGCGCCATCGCAGCTGGGGAAAAACCCACAAGTAGTATCTTTGCGCTTCAGCTGGTACCAACCAGCACGGGGCAGTATCTCTGGAAGCAGCTGACCGTGCGACCTACAATTCCCCCGATTGCTTTCTCCGTTGCATGCCACTGCGCCGATGACGCTTCGCTTATTCTGTACGGTGGATGCACCGTCGCCGGAAAGAGTATGCCGAAGCGTACGCCGGACGCAAAGAGGCTGAAACCACGTGTGGCAGCCATCCAGAGTGGCGGCAAGAGGCATAACCACAGACACCTCCACGATGCTGACGACGAGGATGGGAACGATGACGATTTCTGGAAGGGATTGCTGCCTTTTAATGACGGCCTTGTGCTTACGTTTCCGGTGAAGCGGCAGAAGAAGAGTTTGGCGGGCTCTCACGCCGACGGTAGTGAGGAGACGGCGATGTACGTGAACGAGCTTGGGGTGGTGACGGACCCCGAGGAAATGACCCCAGAGTTCCGGGCATTTGTGCGACGGCAACACGATTTTCTCCTCATGAAAGACGCGTCGCGCGCGCAGGCGATGAAACGGACGACGATTGAGGAACTTGAGAACATGGAGCCACACTTGTATTTGACGCCAGAGGAGATTGCGTTGCTGCTGGACCGAGGTAACCTCCTGTGCGACAGCTTTACCGAGTACAAGATGGAGACGCTTCCACACAACATCCCCGACAGAGAAAATCGCGTGCACCTTAACGACGAATGCCTCTCTCTCAGTCGCCAGATAAGGGATGTACTGGTGTCTATGAAGGGACAGGCTCCTGGGCTGACGGCAGTGAAGTCCAAAACGCACCGGGTAAAAACGGGAGAGAAGTTTGAGGACCATTCAGCCGCCAAACCATTTCGTCGTGTGGTTGTCATGGGCCTTGTGAAGGAAATTAAGGCAAATCTCAAGCGTATTCATACCTTGAATAAAGTTATTCTGACCCTGGAGTGGGAGGAAAAGCTGGTTTACCTTGACGCCGTCAAGAAGATGAAGACACGGCTAGTGGAGTTTGTGCAAACTGTGAAGGATGTCCTTGACAAGTACATTGAGCGAAGTGTAGAGTCCTTGGTCTCTGCCGCGGAGAAGCAGAAGGACAACCTGCGACGGTTGGCAGAGATTGTGGAGAAGAATCGGCATGACAAGATATTTCAAACCGAGGAGCCCGATCCAGAGCGTCAGCGGGTGAAGCAGATGTGGAGGAAAGGTGAGGGAAGTGCAAGTCCGCAGAAGGATTCCAAGCGGTCTGTCTCACTTTATCGTCATCGCCGTCGCTCTCGTTCCACTGGGGCGGGCTACTACAAGGATGAAGCCAAGGCGGTTATTTCACTGCAACCAAAGGAAGTTGAACATTTGCTTAAAAAAGTGCAGCTTGTGCTTAAGGTGGCGAACTTATTTGGTGACTACTGCAAGTCGACGAAATCGCCTGAGCATAGGCAGCCAAGTGAGGGGCCACCGCCACCGTCTGCAGCGCCTCCGACCCTCGCCGCCTCGGAAGCTCAAGCTCTTGCTGTTCCTTCTGCGCTTGCTATTGTGGAAGCAGTGGCCCCTTCTAATCTTGCACTAGTAACCCGCACGGCTGAAACAGACATGGGGGCCGCTTCCCCGAGTGAGCTTGTTATACGCCGCTCAGATGCCATTCGGCAAGAGGCCATGGAAAAGGCAGTTGCTGTGGGCCAATGTGTGCGTGCGTTCGCAAAGGAGTTGGAGACACCTTCCCTGGTAGGTGACAAGCTGGATTCCCAAACTGGTGTCAGTAAGGATGGGGATGGGCAGACACTTTTGCGCCTTTCCTCGCTACGTCCTCTTCTGTCGTGTAAGCGGCAACTGGTGCAACTCGGCGAGAAGGTTCCTGGAATTCGCGTCAATCGTTGGTCAGTGGAAGATGTTGCTGGCGCCCCTCAGGACGAAGAGGCCCAAAAACGTTTTGAGAGGATGTCAATGTGTTTGTCCGCGCTTGTGCAGCGCCTCACGGCAACCTTTTTGGCCAAGGCGGGGGGGAGGCAGCCTCGATCGGCGATCAGGCAGGTGCAGCTTGAGGGGGCTCGGAGAGCTGCGTCATCCTCTTCTGCACACCCGCCCCCGCGTGCACCACGGCCCCGCTTATTGCTAACGTCGCCGTCGCCTTTGTCCACGAGGCATGGACGGGTAGTGAGGGTTATTCCTACGGCGGGTCCAAGTGAGGTCGCTGCGATCCACCAGGGTGGAGAGGAAGGCGCTCCACAGAAGCAAGAAACATCACCATCACCGCCACGAGAGCACCAGCAAGAAGAAGAAGAAAAAAAGCAACCTTCATCTTGCGTCTTTGCACCGCTTTCTACTCCATGGGTGCCTGTGCACCCACCTAGTCTTGACGCGACTGCTGCGACGCCAGAAATACCCAGACCCATTTCTCTCACCTCAAATGAGGCGAAGTCACTTGTGGCGCCGTTGTATACCGCGAGTCCTTTCACTGGCGAGGGTGTTATTATTTCATCTGTGAAGGAGACAAAGGTCATTCCGAACGCCAATCCCCGAGAAGCCACTTGGGAAGAGAAAAATTCTGCTACTATCGCTCCCTGTACAGACGCCTTTAACGCTGTTTCGTGCGGAGATGCACGACAACCGCAACCACCATGCATTGTTGTTTCCAGGGGTCCAACTACTACGAAAACTGATTTTAATTTGTCTATGCTGACGGAGTTGAGTCCATTGGGAGGGTCATTATCTGCTACACATATAGACATGCGGCCGGGCATGGTGGAGGGCGATAAGCCTGCTTCATCCGGTATGGTGAGCCTTTCTCCAGGAGTTTTTCGTGGCCCCAACGCGTCTGTTGTTGAGGGGCGTCCAGAAATGGGTCTTTCGCCCCAACAAGAGACGATGATCCTTGAAGATGATTATTTTCTCTTCGGGCGGCGCTACGCCTCGGAGCCGGTGGTTGCCCCGCCTGTTGTGGAAGACACAGAGAGGCGTCAGGTCGTTGCGGCGGTGGATTCTCCACTAGTGGATCGCCCTGAGAGGACGGTGAAGGTGTCACCGCCCGTGGGGACGCCTGCGGGCCTCACTGTGGCAGCGCCGCGAAGGCACGTGGGACCCTCGTTGTCCCGCCAACGTCCCTCTTCCGACCCTGCGCCGGCGGCGTGGACGGATGCCTCTGCGAGGCCTCTGAGGGAGGAAATGTTTCGCGGAAGACTAACGCCTGGTGAGGTGCAGATCCTACAGGCAAGGGAGCGTCTGCGCGCCCCGTCATCGCGGCGGTGAGCAACGAGAGGAAAAAAATTAAAGGATAAAAAAAAGCATAAAAAATGCAACAAGGACACCAAAAATGAATTAAAAAAAACGTAACGTCCGTGACCTTCCCATAGATGAGAAAGAGACCGATAGAATAAAAAGGAACGACATAGATTTGAATTTGTGTGTTTTTTATGTATTTTTTTTTTGCCTTCCTTTACCGGGAAAGTCTGCATAGTTGAGGAGGGAGGAGGGAAGAAGTACACTCCATTGTGTTTTAGAGGGAGATTGGGGGAGGGGAATGTTTTTATAGTTGCATTTACGTATAGAATGAGTTGAGGGAAGTAAACAATACAAGGTGGGGCACGAAGCACGGAAACGGAACAGCGGCGGTCACTGGTGTGGTGAGTGAGGAAACTGCAATATTGCTTTCTGGCAATAGCTACACGATTGAGAGACAAAAATAGTAATAATAAAAGAAAGGTCACCCATGGGTGAGACATGCGGCTGTTGCTTTCGTACATGCATATTTTCGTTATCCAACTCTTTCTTGCTTCTTTTTTCTTTCTTCGTAAACTGCAGGTTGCCTCTTTTTGTACCGCTTATCGACCCTCCACCCACCCCGGCGTCTCCATTGTGGCGCGAGGGAAAAAGTATAGGTGCATACTTTTCTATATAGCAAAAGGAAGGAGGATATTCTGGCGTGAGGAGGAGGTGTTTCCTGCGCAGTTTACCTCTGCCGTCGAAGGGCAATCAAAGGCGGGATAAAACGGGGAACGAAAAAAGAAAGTAAAACGAAACAAAAACAGACAAACAAACAAACACACACACACACACACACACACACAGAACAAAAAAAGTCTGATAAGAGAGACTCCACACTGGAAGCAGCGTCCAAAGTGAAAGGGGAAAAAAAAAGAGTGTAGAAAAAGCAAAAAAAAAACGTTACTGTGTTTCGGGGTATTGGTATAGGCGAATGAGGGAGGAGCAGAGGTACCTGCCGTTTGGGCGACGGGATCCATTGGCGCGCGACTACGAGGTGGCCAAACGACCCATTTTTTTGCTGGACGGTTGGAATATTGTGCAGGGAACCGATGCTGCTGCATATGTCTCTAGCGGAGTAACAGATGGCGTGATGTACGGCACCAACGGAGCTCTAGGCGTTCGGCACCGCAGTGAGGGTGAGACTATTGGTTTTGAAACAAATGTCTTCCTGAATGGGGTGTACCACAGTGTTCCAATTGATAAGCACATAAAAAGTGAGGCCTTACCCGACGAGATGCAGCTTGGGGCCACTGTGTGTGGTGTCAATCTTGACTGCCTTATCGATGGCGACTGTGGCACTCTTCGGGCCCTGCCTTCTCGATGGCTTGATTTACGTAGTGCAACTTATCACAGTGAATGCCGTGAAGTAATGAGTGGGGATGGTGGACTGATGTTTGATGGTGCCTATCGCCGTGTCGTCTCCATGAAGGAGCTGGATTTGTGGGGGGCAGAGGTTGCTTACTCCAATTTTTTGCTTGGCTCGTCGTCCAGTGATCTCCAACTCCCCGAATCCCCTGATTATATTCCTCCCACAAACATTATAAGTTTCTTGAGCTCTGATAATACTTTTCCTTCTTACTCCTTGGAATTTCATGTGACAGTGACGGTGGATTTGCGAGAGTGGGTTGTGCTGCGCGGTGACAGCGCAGATGATATTCTGCTGCAGTCCCGCACCTCAGGCGTCGTCGTGAGTACGGCTACGCAATCCACCTGCGTTGTGGAGTACGAGAGTGGCTCCTCAAGGCTTGTCCCAGAGGACCAGGTGTTGTCCGAGAGAGGAGACCACACCTTACTGGATAGAAATTTTGCCGCGGCGGCCGTGTCGTATCCCAGTGAAAGCGAGAGTGACCCCGGGTATGGGGGCGGCGGCCTTTCTTCCTTTGTGAACCCCCGAAGCAAGAGCATGTCTTTCAGGAAGCGGTTTCACTTAACCCTCAGCGCCGATTCAATGCCAGTGAAATTAACGCTAACGTTTTTGGCCCGACACCACAGTGGTGGGATTCCCCCTTCCCGTCCGTTCCCCGGTATTTCAGAAATAATTGATGACCAGCGCCTGATTTTGGATAAATTCTGGGATCGTTTTGATATTGATTTGGAGCAACAAGAGGAGCTGACACCAAATCGATTACGTCTCTCGCTGCTGTTCAACGCATTTCGATTATTTTGTGTTTCCCATAACCTGCACAATGGGCTGCCGCGGGGAGGGTGCTCCGCCACCAAAAAGAGTCTGTTGTATGATCTTCATCAGTATTTGTACCATGGTATTTTCTATACCCTGACCTCGCCGCCGCAGGCCTTGGCTTTGATCCGAAGCCTCTATTCCCTTCTTCCCCAGGCAAGAGTAAACGCTCATCGTATTTCGCTAAAGCACGGCGCCGTCTTTCCACGAAGCACCATTAAAGGGACGGAGTGTCAACACTACAATACCGTGAGCCAGGCACGATTGTATGTGAATGCCGAGATTGGGTACATCATTAACTTTTTCTTTGCCGCAGCAGAACACATTGATCAAAAGGACCGCCTATGGCTTCTAGAGCTCATGCTAGAAACAGCGCGTGTGTGGCCGCAGTTGGGGGAATGGGTGGAGAGTGAAGCTGCGTTTCGTCTGGATAATATTGCAGGGCCTGATGAATACAACAGCACAGCCTCTGGAAACTTTTATATTCACTTATCTGCCAAAATGCATTTGCGGAATGCCCTAGACCTCTATGAACAGCAACAGTGTTTACTTGGAGAAGCGGCCATGATGCGTCTGCTAAAACAAATTAATATGGACAAATCCGAGCTTGAAGATTTTAGATCTACCTCCGACGGCATTGTGGTACGTCGTAAGGATTACTTGGGCGTGTACATGGTGCATGACTACTTTAATACACTTGAGGAATGGAGAGCCGAGCGACCTAAGCACCCACTGTCAATGAACTACCATCCCCTCGCAATTTTTCGTCACATGCTTGTTGATGTTCCTGAGGTATTGTTGGGAATGATTTTGTATCAGGACATGTTCGAAAAAAAAGATTTGGTGAAAAACTTGGCTCACTACGAAGCACTTTGCACGTATGATTCACCCGAGTCTCTCGCTATTGTTTCAGCGATGGATTTTCAATCCAACGGGGCATTCTCGCATGGGATTCCGTTACTGCGCTCATTGCTGTGTCTAGACGTGGATAATGTCATTTACACTGCCGATGAGGGACTCGATTTTGGTGCAATGTCTTCCGCATGGGTTTCCATTGTTAGCGGCATCGGGGGGCTTAAATTGGGTCAACGGACCCTTTGTTTAGATCCATGCTTTCCCGCAGGATTGACGGTTGTCAAGTTTACAATTTGTTGGCGGGGGGCAACGTTGCGTACCACGGTGGACAAGGATTGCGTTACATATGAGCTTCTTGCAGGGGACAGTATTCGGTTTGTGCATGGTAGCGGGCATCGGATTCACCTTCACGCGGGGTTTCACCGCTTTGCTGCCAAGCGGCAAGTGTCTGTGCCGCGGCAGATGCGAAGCAGCGGGGGGGAATTTGACGGTGCCATCTTTCTTTGCGAGACATTGTTCGACGACATCATGGACATCAACTACGCGGCGTGGTACAAAACGCTTGAGTCCCTGTTTGAGAATTACAGAACACTGCACCTTCGTGAAATTAAACCCTTAACACCGGAGGAATACCTTGAGAAAGTTGTCTACCAAGCAGAAGAGCGTGAGATTGCCTTTAGTGGCATTCACAATGTCTTGTTGTCCCGTGGGATTGACCTCGAGCTCGGCACCCCAGACGATGCCGAGATTGTTGAGACACGCTACGGACTGGCGAACGCCAAGTTGGCAGAGGTGGCAGAAATAATGTCTCGCGTGAACCCGCGCGTGAACGCCTCGATGTACGCCCTGTTGAAGGATCTTGCCAACAGCGGCATTGCGCTTGCGGTGGTGACGTACACGCGAAGCCTCAAGGCTCTCCTGCACTATAATCCTGAGATGATGTCGCTCTTCCTTGCTTCTATTGACGGGGAAGAGGCGCACGCTCGACACATCAAAAGTCGTCCTCATGTTGACATTTTCCTTCGTGGGGCCGAAAAAATTCACGTGGATCCGGCGCGCTGCCTTGTCTTCGCCACGCATCTTGATCGCGGCTTTACGGCCGCCAACCTCGCCAAGTTTCGCATGTTTTTTGACGTGGAGGTGAAATTTGTGATAACTCCGGTCTCGCCGGGCCCGCATCCGTATCCCAAGCCTTCCGGGGAATTGGCAAACGCAGCGGGGTCGGATGCTGCCCCGCTCTTTTTGTCGCTCTCACGGAATCATCTGCCAACGACAGTTGACGCCCTGGAGGACATGTTGTACGAGCGCAGCGAAGCTGCGGGTGATCCGGGCATGGCGTGAGCCGGGGCTGGAACGAGACGCCCAAGGACTACCGAGGGTTGAGCATCGAGGGGTACCGTGAGTGGGAAGGGCCGCGACACAAATACATGGAGGCAAGTCAGTTTTGCGTGCCTTTTCTGGAGGCAACTGAGGGACGAAATGAGACTACGCACACGCACACACGCACACGCATAATGCCAACAATATGGGTTCCTTGTCGAGGTTTTGGATGGAAGGAGCTGATCTAAACGCACGCTTGTACGCACAACGGCGCTCCCTCTTTGCGTTAGTGTATATGTACATATTTGCGGGAGGTTTGAGTTGTCCTTGACTTTAGAAAATTAGTAGTCAGTGTTCTTCCCTCGCTCCCTCTATCTCGTTGTTCTTTTGCCGTGTCTGTGACTCTGATGCTGCCACTATCAGGGGAGAGTTGCTGGTTTGTTTTGGGAGTTTTCTGACTACCACTGAGGATGATCATGTTTGTTGTTGCTGTTGTTGTTGCTGCTGTGCCCCACTGTCTTTTGTCGGCGCGGATTTGTATGAGCTGCCTTTTCATTCTCTCATCATAACTCCTTGTTTTTTTTTCTCACCTTATTCTGGCCCATCTTGCTTTTCTTGTATGCATGTTATTCTTTAACTGCGGTAGAGTACGGTAAGCCACCATGTCAGTCACAGACACACTTGGGCCGCTGTTTACCTTCCTCATCGTTGTCAATGTTATGGGCACAGCCATGCCGCTGGTGCGGCATCGCTTTGTTTGGTATACTCTGGCGTTTGTCTTGTTTGGCTTTGCCGGTCTTTTTCTGATGTTGGCCGTTATTTTCCTCCTTGCTGACTCAGCGGTTTCACTCTACGATGTTAATACCAAGGGAGAGGTGAGGGTGCAAGCGACGGTCCCATTTGACCCAGCATCGTTTTTTTTAGTCAACGTGACTATGACCACGTTGATGTCCACCGCGGTGCTAGCGATGGTGGCTTGGCTCTGCTATCAGTCCCGCAAGAGCTGGCACGTCTACATTCTGCCGATGCTGCGTGACCTGAACGCACTCGAGCAATCTGTTTGGTCCAATGCGCTGGACCTCCGTGACCGCGTTGTTCCAGACTCACTGTGAGGGCGTCTGCGCCTCACATAACGAAGTGGGGCATTTGCGAAAAAGGGATTCGCGCTGATTGCACCAGAGACGAAGCCCAGCAAATGCAAGAAGAAGAATAGTAATAAAAGCAGGTGTGTCCTCCTGCGTCTCTGCCAGCTTCACATGTTTGCCTGCTTAGTTTTTGTTACTTATGTTCCTCTTTCTTTACTATTGTGTTGACTTGCTTCTTCATCCTTGCAATTTCCAGCATAGGTGGCCCTGAAGTACGCTCGCAGCATAGCGGTATATTTCTTCTTCGTGCTGCTGCTGCTGTTGCTGTTGGTGTTGGTGGTGAAGCAATTATTTGCTCCACACTCGGGAACCCACCAAAGACCCTTTGCAGTTTCACACGGCGCGGCGCCAGGCTCAACAACTCGCGACAATTCGACGCAACTCCATTTTCTGCCGGGCCGCTGCGTGTGCACTGGGGCCCACACACCACTGGCTCCACCAGAAGCTCGGGCCGAAGGTCAACGCCACGGTCGACGGGCCGCGGTCAAAGTCAAGTATTGCACGCATGGCGCGGCAGCCCAATACTGTCGTTGTGCTGCATCCTGTCAACAGCGACGTCGTCACGTTGGATATCTGTTTACAACTCGATGCCTCTTCGGGGTCCGTCTGGCGGAAGAATATGGCTAGAAGCGAAGACGAGGCGGCAGTGAAGACGATTGAACGGCTTCAGATTCTACTGGTTCAACAGAAGGGAGAGAAGAAAGGCCGACGAGTGACGAGGGACGAGTTACTCAAAGTTGCTCCACCTATTGAGGTTTTCGCCTTGGAGGGCGATGAAGCAGAGGTGGAAGGGCAAGCAATAACCCCAGCCACAACTCTGCTGAAGCCTTTAGATGCGTCTGTGTCTAACAACGTATTCTGGAAGCAGGCTAAGCAGATGTTAATTGGTTCGACCGCAGTGAAGGTGAAATACAACGTCCCCACCATTACATCTGTCGTCCCGCCCCCTGCACTTTATGTGGGAGTGCCGGCCGTTTGCTCTGGCGTGACCACGTTGTTCACGTCAGAGCTTGGCATTCGATATGAATGGTGTTTGTGTGTCACAGGTGCAGACGAGCACGCCTCTATACGTGTCATTTCCACAGATGCTGTTTTTACTCCCTTGGAGGAGCATGTAGGGAAGTCTTTGCTGCTGCGTGTATCTCCTGAGGGGGACTCTGGCCTCTGGACACAAGTTGAGTTGCCCCCTGTCCTTGCTGCCCTGCCGCCTATGGATCGGTGGAAACACACGTTGCAGCCGGCAGAGGCACCTGCTTTCAGGGTAGTGACGTACAATGTCCTCCACGATGAATTTTGCAGCACAAACGCGGCGAAAAGACGTATTTACCCCTTTGCGACTGATGACATCTTGTCATTGGAGTATCGGCAATCCCGCATTGTACAAGAGCTTCTCGCATACAAAGCCGATGTGATTTGTCTTCAGGAATGTGGGAAGAAGGTGTACCAACAATTTTTTGAGCGTGTCTTACGTCACAGTGGTTATGATGGACGTTACACGAACAAAAGTGGTGGTGTAAAAGAGGGTTGTGCATGCTTCTGGAGGCGAACCCGTTTTTGTATGGGTGAGGCACTTGATTTCCCGTTGAACCTGTCCACTCTGCAGGAGGATCACCCGGAATTGGGGGCACGTGTGTCACTGTACCCCGAATTTCGGGAAGCTCTTGAACATGTCACCTCCATTGGGGCGTTGGTTTTATTGAGGGACCTTCACACCAAGGAAGAGCTACTTGTTGGTAACACGCACCTCTTTTATCACGCCAACGCATGCCATATACGCTTGTTGCAGACATACATGTTGTTACACAAGTTGAAACTTTTTGCTGCGTCACGGCCATGTGTGGTCCTCTGTGGAGATTTCAACTTTACTCACACGACGGGCGGTTACAGACTTGTTACCAGGGGTCAGACGGGGGTCGAGCACCCTTCCTGGAAAAAGGGAGAACTTTTCTACTGGGGATGTGATCGCATGCTGGGCGTCAGCACGGAGGAAACGGAGATGCTCGAGGAGGGGGGCGAACAGGGGGCTTCGTCGGTGGGGCCAGCGACGGAGCAGACGAAACGCCAAACGCCACTCGAGGCCTTCCGCGAGACCCTTGAGGCGCCACTGCAGCTGACGGACGCGTATGACGCGACGGGGGAAAACTTGCCGTGGTCAAATTACACCATGACATTTCGCGAAGTCATTGATTACATCTTCTTCGCGCCGACTCGTCTCTCCGTTCTGCGCACTGTGCCTATTCCACCAGAGAGCGAAATATCGGAGAATGTCGCGTTACCGAATAGGCGGTATCCATCGGATCATCTTGCGTTAATTGCGGACTTGGCGTACACGTCCAATCCTCCCCCGTCGCAGTCACCGGCGTCACCGAGCCATACCCGCTGCGTCTAAGAGAAGAGGGGAGTGGGCATCGCCGGGTGGCTTTCTGTCGTTTAAAGCGACACTTTCCTTTACTTTTGGATCTATTTAGTGATGAATTTGCTGCTGCAACCCGCTCCGCACCGCTCCGTCCCCAGAAAAAAAGAAAATAATAAGAAAAAGGGCCGGAATAAAAGGAAAGATACGTTGGTTACGTGGAATAATCCCTTTTCTTTTTTATCGTTCTCACCGATACCTTTCTTCCCCCTAATCTACCTGTTTTCAAAGGTGCTGTGCGTATGCGTTTACCTCTCCCTCTCTCCCTCTCCCTCTCTCCCTCTCTGTGTGCATGTAAAATGTGTGCTGCTTTCTTCTTCCTTCTTGGTGCCTGCGGTTTCTCTGGGGGCGTGGGAGAAGCAGGGGAGAGTGGCGCGGGAGACGGCGGTCAGCGACGACGAAGATACGGGCCACAATAGGGAATACAGTGCACATAAATTGTGAACCCGGTGAACTCACGCCGCTGCAAGGCACCTGCGCCATGCTGTCTGCCACTCGTCGCCGCGCGGATGTTGGAAAAGAGTTGTATGGTAAACTGTCGACGCTCCCGGGAGATTTTTATGACTCGTGCCGGAGACACTTTGGAATCACCCTGCACCAAGACACTTTCATTGGGGTTCGTTCCTCACAGGTGCGAGGTTTGTTCTTGTCGACCAGCAGTAAACCAGTGGAGGCCAACAAGCCCATTGCCACTATTCCGCTTGCAGGTCTCTACACGGTTTCTAACATCGGAAGTAAACCCAACGCGCTTCGCAACGTAACCATCGATGATGTTCGCAATGCGGTGAGGGAGGAGGAGTTTAAGATTATGTCCCCTCAGTTTTACCTGAGCTTTCAATTTAGTGCCATCATCGCTAGTCTTCCGGACATCACTCATGCACAGGACGAAGAAGAAATGGAACGCATCACACACATTCTGCGTGGTGGCGCCATGCCTTGGGCTAGAATGATTGATGATGAAGATTTCAATGAACAGTTTATTTTCGGTATGTACGGTATGGCACTAGATACGTGGCAGCGACAAAGCTACGAGGAAATGACGAAGATGTTTCATCGCAATATCACCGCAATTCATGAAAAATTTGAGCCACCGTTTTCTGTAGACACATTTAGACGTATTGCACGTTTGGTTCTGGCGCGTGCAGAACACATGCCGCCTCTGGACTTCTACGATGGTTCGGCTATGTGGCGTCGTGCACGTCACTACTTGCGCCGCTGCATGAAACGACGAGATCCCTCAGAAGTGTGTATGGTGCCACTGCTTGACTTGGTTAATCATTCTAACCGGCCCAACTGTGGAGTGCGCGTCGGTCCGAGTCCGGTTGCGGGCGGCAAAGGTGCCATAACGCTTCACTCAATCGCCCGCATCAACCCTGGCCAGGAGATTTGCCGGCACTACAATTTTGCCATTAATCGCCCGAATGCCCTTTTCCGCTACGGGTTCTTGCCGTTTGACTTAATTTCCATAGTGGAGCACGACGCCATTGACGAGTACCTTGTCAAAAATCGGCAAATGCTGCGCGAGGAGTCGGAGGAGGTGCAAACGAGGCGGCAAAAGGAGAGGGAGGAGATCCACCGGCTGGAAAAGATTTTCCAACAGGCACGATCAGGACGATCGTCTGAAAAGGGATTCGAGCACTAAACTCTGCGACTGTGTTTCCGGTTGACATTTTTTGATCGGTTGATTCTTCATTATTTATTTACTTATTTATTTTCAATTCAGGTTGGGCGTAAAATGCGCAAATGCAGGCGTTTGCTCAGCATTGTTGCCTTTTCACTGATTGTGGTCATCGTTGCGTGGCGGTATCGCTTTTTGTTGTTGTGGTGGTTGTTGTTGCTGCTGCTGTTGCCATTCCCATCACTGCCACCTTCGTCGCGACCGTGTTGATAGTCATGCAGAACTTTTTCGCCGTCGATTCTCTTGGGAGCCCACGCCCTTTTTTTTTTGCGTTAGTGAATCGGGGGTGGTGGTGGCGGCAGGGAGGCACAAGGCGGCATCGGGCACAACAGGAAGAGGCAACTGTAAGTGTTCTTGCTTATTGCCGCCTCAACCGACCATCCCGCCTCGGATCCAAAGTTGGTGTTGCAACCCTTTTATGTGGCGTCTTTGCGGATGTAGGGCAGCTTTATTTCCGGTCTGTTCCACCGCCACGGGGCGACGGTATCTGGGAACCAGCAAGGACCCGCATCATCGCTCCGGGCACGGGGAAAGTGCTGTGACTGGTAGTAGCGTGGGTGACAATTCCCCGAGTGCGAAGTCTACGCCCGGTGTTGGTCAGCCGAACGCGGGCGAGGATAAGAAGATGCCCTCAGGTACGCCTTCTCAGTTCATTGCCACCACAGAAGTTTCTACACGCACCGGTGTGCGCTGGTTGGATGTGGCCGGACGGTCCCATTTATGGGCCGATGATTCTTTTTCAGGAGAAGGCGAGTTTTTGGCCCATGCTATGGAGGCCCTTCGTGGAGGAAAACTTCCACCCGACATGATGCCCAAAGTTTGCCATAACACGCGGGCCTTACCATTTGTTCACATTGAAAAAAAGTGGGCATCTTTGACCTTGCGCTACGCGCGACAGCATCCACGTTGGTTTTCAATGCTTTTGCATGATAATGTAAAGGACTTTTGCGCGACCGAATCAAGTGGCACGCAGCGGGCAAAGTACTCCAAGTTGCAAGAGATCGGTGAGGATGAGGAGGAGACTCCGCACTTTAGCGATGAGGACGGGGCTAAGGTGCGTTGTGGTCAAATAAATTCACTGGAAGGGGAGAGTGCTCAAAGTGGGATGTCGTCCCAAGTTAATATGGTGGAGTTGACGTATCGCCTGCACATCTTCTTATTTAAGGAATGTAGGGCCCCGACGGAGTACGGCGGAAAGGCGAGTACGCCGTATTTAAACCTTCAGCAGGCGGAAACGGTTTTTCAAGTGGGCGGAGGCGACACTAAATTGAATCCACTTGCCGGGCAATGGCGGATAGTTACAGTACACCGGTATCGTATGCCGTTTCTCGAACAGCTGTTGAGTCAGTGGGCGACAAGTGGACTGCGCGGAGGTACATGGATTGGCATCGTACAAAGGCTCGTTCATGGCGCCACTTTGAGTATACAAAGCCTGGATTACAAATATGCGGAACGCATTGATGAAGTTGAAATGTTTTTGTTTGACTCTTCTGCGAACATGAATGATCTTACTACGATTCTTGCGCAGTTGCATGTTATTAATCGACGATCAAAGATTCACGCCAACTTTCTTCGTGAAACCCAACGCAGCTACACGAAGCTTTTGAGTGCGTTAAACGTGCCTGTGGAATTGGAGGACCAGAGAGAGATTCTCTACCTTTCCAATGCCCTGTCGCTTGCTGATGAACTGCATAATCAGTCTCGTTCCCTTCTCGTTCTTCAGTTTTATGCCGCGGCGTACATGCTGGAGGATCATCTCCGTATTTTGACACTCTTCACAACTTTCTTTATCCCACTCGAATTAATCACATCTTGGTTCGGGACAAATTTTGTCAGTCTGGAACATTTTGTGGAGGGTGAATGGGGTTTGCCCATTGCCGGGGTCATGCTAGTGGTAACTGCAATTATCACAAGTGTGTGGATGCGTCGTCATGTGGTGGCGGGGGGTGAAAAAAAAAAAACTCCTCTGCCCCATTTATTCTCCCCCCCCCCCACCATTTTTGTGTGTGTGTTTTTTTTTCTTTCTTTCTTTTACTGTGTGAAATTCTCTTTTGTTTCTTGAAGTGAGGCGATGTAATGATCTGGGTTAAGCACGGTGTGTAAGTTTGTGCGGCGGTGAGGGATGCCGCTTCTACGTGCGGCGCATTGCTTTCTTTCCTTCGCTCGCTCTCGGTTTTTGGTTCTTTGCCTTCACCCATCTTCCTTCGTGTAAGTGTGCGGTGAAATGACTTTTGTGTTGCTTCATTTTTTTTTTTGGTTTGGGCGCCGCTGTGTCTGTGCGTTTGCGTGTGTGTGTGTCTGCAGGGGGCCGATAGTGTTTCTCGCCGCCCAAAGCTGCGCTGGACGAATGGGGGGAGGGAGCCTCGCTGCGGCCCCCGCCCCACTCGTTCCCACTTTGCACGTGTAAGTGTGTAGGCACGATTGTTCATTCCCCTCACTGCTATGATTTTGAAGTATTAGCGTTATTTGCCTTTCGTTTCTTCTTCACTATTTCTTCTGCGTGCCTCATATTTCATGCGGTCTTTTGTTTTCTTTTACTCTCGTTTCTTGTGTGCCTTTCCCCGCTCGTGTACCCCTGTCGTCCTGCAGGGAGGTGAAGGTAACACGAAGCGTGGGCAGCATTGCCAAGCAGTAGAGGAAAAGGGTCAAGCAGCCGCCATTCCCCATTTCTCAGTCTTTCTCTTCAAGACACACACACACAAACGTACCTACTCGCACGCCGGCATTGACCTGGTATATAATTTATAAGAAAACAAGTGACGGAGCGAAGCGGGAGCCAATGAAGCCGTTGAATCAAAAGTGGCGACCGCTTACAGCTCGGCGTCCCCTTGCAGCCGCTTTTGTTTTGCCACTTTTCTTTTTGGCAGTGCTGCTGCTCACGAGCACAGGTGTTGTGGAGGGATTCCCGTTTACGAAGTCCTCCGGTGTAGTGGAGCTGACGCCTGCAAGCTTCAATCGGTTCGTGTCTTCACACAAGCCGGTGTACGTGCTCTTCTACGCCCCGTGGTGCGGGCACTGCCGCAAAATTCACCCGGAGTGGGAGAAGTTTGCTCAGGCTGTTCAAGGCACCATCCGCGTGGGTGCCGTCAACGCGGACGAGCACTCGCAGCTTGGGCACCAGTTTGGCGTTCGTGGGTTTCCAACTATCAAGTACTGGAACTTGGGTGAAAAGAATATAAGCAAGGCACAGGAGTACGGCGGCCCGCGACAGGCGGGGGCTATTCAATCCAGCGCGATGAGTCAAATAAGTTCCGCTGGCATAAAGACAATTAAGAGCGGCGATGCCTTGCGGAAAGCAGTGCACATGGCACCTGAGAAGAAGGTGGTGGTTCTCTTTTCCTCCAAGCAACGTGTTCCTGCCATTTTTTCTGTCTTGTCGCTCTCCCCACGTTTGAAGTCTATGCCGTTTTATTTTATTGGCGGACAGGTGAAAAACGAACTCGCAGCGGAGTTTGGGGTGCAGGCCCTCCCGAGCATTGCCGTTCTCAATGCTACAGGCGGCAACATCAGCACGGTGGTCTACACGGGGAAACAGATAGCCTATGAGCCAATTGCGAAATTCTTGTCGGAGTTTGCGACGGATGTTGCTGACAAGTCCGCTGCCGCGAGTGAAAAGGACACAGATGGAGCAGAAGTAAAAGACAGTGGCAAGGACAAGAATAGTGCTACTGCTACTGCTGGGGCTGGTGGCAGTAGTCAGGGTAGGCCAGCGTTGCCCGTGCGTCCCGTTCGCTTAACCACAGAGTTATTGGCGGACTTTTGTTTACCGAAAACACTGCGTACAAATGGTCAGGCACCGCTGTGTGTGGTGTCACTTACTTCTGCGTTTACGCTTGACCGCGTTCACGACACTTTTCGCAATGAACCGCTTATATTTTTTGAGGGGCATGCCGATCGAGATGTGCTTATTGCTGCCCTTCGGGGTGATCTTGGCTTGCCGGAGGTGGCCGACAGTGTTAACGGTGCCGCGGTCCATCAGGTGTTGTTATTACGGGCAGCGAAGCGTGATGTAATTCGCTACAAGCTTCTTGACGGGATTGAAACAGTCGATGGCGTCAATGATTTTCTGCAGAAGGTCTTGACTGGAGAGCTACGCCTCGGGAAAAAGGTGCTGCGTTGATTTCACGACGCTGGGCACACTGTGCGCGCGGATACGCAGAAGGAAGACGGGAGAGAAGGTGGGAGACTTGCTTCTCCAAGGGACTTGTAGTCCTTAATCCTTCTTCTTTTGTTTTTGTTTTTGTCTGCGATGACCTCCGCGATTTATATTTGTTGCCTCAACGAAATTCGTTTCTGCACCTCTGTCTTTTGTCGGTCTTTGTGAAGAAGAAGAAAAAACAAGCTCCTTGGGCCTGTCTTCCTCGACATTATTTTTCCGTGAAGAGCCATGCACGGCGCTGCTTGGCCGATGCACGGAAACATGTAGGGGGTGTACATGCCGGGCTGTTGTGTTGCTACTTCTGCATATGTGTTTTCTTTGTTTAATTTTTTACTTTTGTTTTGTTTTCTTCTTCGCATGACCCTTTGTGTTTCCTGTGGTACGAGGAGGTGGGTGACCCAGTGTCCCTCTTTCTCTCTTTCCAACAGTGTGTGCATCCGTGTCTATGCATATCTTTGATTGGTGCAAAATCTGCCATGCATTTCGCATGGATACCGCGTTTTTACACACGCCCTGTCCTTTCCTCTGTGCCTGTGTCGGTGTGTGTGTGTGTCTGTGGATTCTGAGATTTATGTCATTCTGCGTTTTTTATTTAATTATTATTGTTTCTTGTTATCGTAGTTTGCCGCGCTAGTTGTGTCGTCTTTAGGGACGCTTGGGACGGCGGTGGGAGTGCCCCAGCAGAGACGGGGGCTAACGGGGAGGAAAGTAAGAGGGGGAGGAGGCAAACCGGTAGTGACGCGCTCTATCGAGCGCAGTAGAGGGAGGTTAACCGGAGGCAACGGGGACGCGCCGCTGGGCGGGGAAGAACCACAGGCCCCACTTCTATACGTACATACAAGCAGGCGGGGACCAAGAGGAAACCGAAAGCCATGGGTGTCTGCATCTCCACTGGAAAAGGCATCGACGCGCACGACGAGGAAAAAAGAAGGGAGACAACACCCGAGGGCGAGCGCACGGTGCCGCATGGCAACAACAGCTCTGCTGCAACTGAAATCTTGTCAGCGTTGCCAAACAGAAACCTGGGGCTCATGGACCCTCGATCATACGCGCAGTTGGAGAATGCTATAGAGGAACTTTGTCACGGCCAAAATGCGGCACTGTTTTTGGCGCATCCGGAGTTGTTGTTTTCAAATCGAGCGGCTATCCTCTGCACAGGAGAGTTTGTTCCAGGGGAAATTGTGGGAAAGTACACTGTCTTGCGTGCCTTGCCCACAGGAACGGTGGGCCGTAGCTTTTTCGTCAGGGCTTCACTTGAGGAAAACGGGGGAACAAAGGGCGGGTTAGTGAAGAAGACCGGTCTAAGTCAGAGGGATGAAACCCCTACGTCCCGAGCATCTGTCAACAATTTATTCGCACAGCCGATAGAATGCGTTTTCAAGGTCATCACGTTCATCACGCGCATGGAGGTGGCTGAGCATGTCTTGCAGGATCAAAAAGTGCTGACAAACCTGATCCACGATAACGTACTGCGCTGCGTAGATGTGCTAGATGACGGAAGCCATGAGAATCTTATTTTCGTTACTCCATATGTTGAGAAGGGCAGTTGTGAAACGCTCGCAGGCAAAATTGAAAAAGATCAATTACTTTCTATTCTGCATGATGTGGCTGTTGGTCTACGTATTCTCCATTCTCATGAAATCTTTCACCATAATCTAAAGCTGGACAACATTCTCATCAGGAATAATGGCACCGCTTGTATTGCTGATGCTGGATTTGGACGTATTTTTGCCTCGGAGAGTGCGGAAAGCCTTGTTTTTAACGGTGAGTTAGCTTGCATGCCGCCTGAAGCCTTTTTGAACAATACTACTTCTTCAATGAATCTAGCGAAGGTGGATGTCTGGGGCTTTGGACTGCTAATGTATCGACTTGCGTACGGCGTAGAACCGCTGGATGTTGAGGGTAAGTCATTTGAAGTGGTACGAGATTCTGTGCTGCATGGACAAATCGAGTTTCCATCTCCAAATTGGCTTTCAGAGACACCGTTTCAGGAGGTAGTTCTGTGGTGTCTCAACCGTGACCCAAGGAATCGACCGAGCATTATGCAGCTGCTACGTCACCCGCTCTTTGGGGAGACTTTGCTGCACAGCATTGGCGGAGGTGCTCTTTCCACCTCTGGAAGATTAAACGCCAATTCCAGCGGACACGCTGGCACCAGCCTTAGTTTCAGTAATATTGGGATGCGCTATGCACGGGCCCAGAAGCGAGCGGGTTTGACAATATATGCGGCACTCGGAAAGGGGCGAAATTGCGAGTCGTTTCTTGTGAACTCGAGTCGTACCACCACAAAGGAGGTCGTCTTGAAAGTCATACGGCGATCGGTGCAAAAAAAGATTGAAGATGCTCCCGACGCAGCTGAGATGCAGCGCGCGTTGGCCTTCTGCCGTGAAGCCCGCCACTGTAGCATATTGCATCTTCTGGACATTGTGGAGAACAAGGATGGCTGCTTCGCGACACAACCATATGCAGACGGCGAGTTTCTCGACAGGAATTTTCCTCCACTTACGAATAAAGAAGACCCTTCCTTTACGCTGCCGAAGATGCTTGTGGATGTGCTCAACGGGTTACATTTCATTCACTCAAATGGTGTGTCAAATTTATGCCTCACCCCAACAAACATATTTTATCTGAAGGGCACTGGCTTCATCTTTGCAGACTTTGGTCCCCTGTTTTTAACGCAGCAAGAGGCCCTATTGGATAGGGAATCAGGGTATCCGTGGTACTCACTTCCGTCATGGGTGCTCGATGATCTTCGTGCACCGGCACAGACGACAAGGCACGCTTTAGACACTTTTTGTGTCGGCTTGCTCGCCGCCTCGGCGGTTCCGTCGGTGTACAACGAGGCTTGGGAGTCCTTTTACAGTGCGGATGAGGGTGACACTATCGTCGATGACGTCTCCGAGGAGGTCGAAAAAGCTGTAGGTATTCTCACTCGACCCCTTGTGGAATTTATTTTAAAGGCGCTTACGACCAAAAGCTCCGCAAAGGAGCTGTTGTCCCACCCGTATTTGGCGGATGTGGTGGGTGCTTCTTTGTCTCAAGTTGTCAAGCCGTTGGAGTTGACACCTGACGCCGTAAAAGCTGCGGTGGCTCGCGATTTTAGCTTTCGTGAGGAACCCCGCCTTATGGACGTGCTGGGTCGCGATCCTATGCTGGAGAGCGTCATGCTTGGTAATTTGGTGGATTCCTTCGTCGAAGATGAAAGCCGAGAAAGTATCTCTGCTGCTAAAGATTTGGATTTGTCTGTTCGATTCCCGTTTAAGGACAAACTTGTCTGTGGACTCTGTCATGTGGATTTGACTATTGTGCTGTTTAAGTGTCTGGAATGTGCTTCCTACGTGCGTTGTGGCAAATGTGCCCTGAACGATAAGCACGCAGACGGTCATGAGATGAAGCCGTACCTCATTCACACTATTGAGCACAAAGGCAATGGCAAGGAGGCCATTCTTTATCCAACAAGTAGTGTCCCAAATGTCAATGTCCTGGAGGAAGTAGAGATGCAGGCGAATCTCCCCGTTGGGTCTCTTGTTGAGTCGAAGCTTCCAGCTGCATCAACTACGACATCGCCTTTGAATAAGCTCCAAATGCAGTCTGCAAACAAGAAAAAAGTACTACCCAAAGCTTCTGAGATGGATGATTTGTCATGGGAGGAGGAGATTGCCCTTTGTAGTGAAAAGGGCAGTGCGGAATTATTGTTGTACCGTTTTGATCTGGACACGGTTCCGAAGGAGCTGTATGACCCGCCACTGCTTCACGTGGTGCGTTTGGATCTTAGCTACAACAACCTCCGTAGCATTCCACATGAGCTATCGTTTCTGGTTAAACTTCGTAGCCTGGTCATCTCATACAATCAGTTAACGGAACTCCCAGATAGCTTGGGCAATTTAAGCCAGCTAGAGCGACTGGATGTGAGTCACAATCGACTGCAGCAGCTTCCACAGTCATTTATGTATCTGCAGAATTTGGCCACCCTTGGTATGGATTACAACGACTTTGCCGAAATTCCAGAGAGCGTGATTGAAATTGTTACCATGTCGCCGTCGATGCCAATGCTCTCTGTGATATACCTGGCGGAGAACCATCGTATTACTCAATTTCCGAAGCGAGAAATTCTTGAGAAGTTTCCCAAACTAAAGCTAGCACTCGATAATGAGCCTAACGTGTACGAGACATACATTAGGGAGAACTTGGATGAAAAGTTGCCTAATGTTAGCATGATGTGGAACAAAATTTATCCTGATTGCATCGTTGAGCATGTATATTGTGGTGGCCTGCGAAGTGCACAGTCTCAGCTGGTGTACGATAAGCTTTCCATCCAAAATCTTTTAACCGTGGGCAGGGAGCTCGTCCCAACGCCGCCGATTGGGGGTGAGCACCTGACACTCAGTATTGATGACATTGAGGGTGCCAATATCAGACTTACCTTTCAAGAATCGGTTGACTTTATTGATCAGAGCGTAAAAAGAGGAAGAGGGTGTTTGGTGCATTGCTTTGCTGGCATGTCGCGCTCGGCGACCACCGTTATTGCGTACCTTATGATGAAGCGAAATATGCGCCTTGATGAGGCGTACTGCCTGACCAAAAAGGGGCGTCCTGCCATTTACCCAAATCAGGGATTTTTTAATCAACTCCTATTGCTCGACGCCGAGTTGTTTCCGCAAGCACCTCCGCTCAATATAGCTGCGATGGAGAGGGATAACATTCCAACCGCATAGTCAGGGAAACACCTCAATGTAACTTCGCATGTACATATATATATATATATATATATATATAA